ATAACCTTTCCGAAACCTTTTTTTTCCCTGGAACAAAAACACGAAATCCCGAAAAAAACGAGTCGAAACCACCCCTGTTCGTGAACCCGCTGGGTAAACGCTGGCCAGCTCATCAGGGGTTGCTATCCAACACTCTAGGGGTTGGGGGGTGTCACATGTGTCACGCATTATCTCCGTGTGCAGTTGGATTGTTCTGCTTCTGCTGCTACTGCTAATTGAATTGTTACTTCCACAGCTACTCCTGTCTGCACTGCTATGGGAAGGAGGGTGTGGGGCAGGGCGAGAGAAACAGTCTCAAGATCAAACTGAAAGACGCATAGACAGGCGACCCACTATGAGAATCGACGGCCACAATACGTGTTTGTGGATTTTCGAATCCTCCTGCCCCGAGATTGCCATAAGACCAGATCGAAACTGATCGAAGCCCTAAGCATGCTTTGCACGTCTTCCTTGCGGCAGTGCAGAACCGATTCCACGCAAATTCATGGCTTCAAGCTTCCCTCATAGTTCCCACAGGGCCGGTCTCAGCAATGCTTTGGATAAGAGTTTGTTGGCTGCTTGCCTGGAATGTGCCGCAGCGCGCAGCAGGTGCGACCTGTCAACAGAACGTTGATTCAACGGCGCTCCTCCAGCTCAAACCTGGAGACACCGTCTCCAGCGACATTGGCTATTTCGTTTGGATGACTGATCTACACGGAGACCCATATTATGCAACGGGTATTCGCCAGTGTCGCAAACGGAGCCTGCACGCACTGAAGGACCAAACGTTTGGCTTGATGGGCTGCGACCCTCCAATCGCTCTGGGCTGGTCTGCAGCATCTGCTGCACAAGCAACGGAGCAGCCCAAGGCGTTTCTCCTCTACACCGGCGACTTCTCCAGGCATACGATGAATCTTATGCCCAATACTCACGCAAACGTATCAAACATAATTGGAGACGTGGCATCCGTTTTCAAGGCGCACTTCCCCAAAATCCCGATCGTTATGGGTGCTCTGGGAAATGACGACGGGCCACAGAACTACTTCCAGACGATAACGTCCGACGAGCCTGCCAATGACTGGTTTGTCCTTGTAGGCGCGAAGTTGAATTCCAGCTGGTCGATGACTTCAGATGCTGTCAAGCAATACAGATATGGTGGTTACTTTGAAGCCCGTGTTGGCAACCTAACACTCCTGAGCATTACTACGGTGATTTACTCAGTGCGACATCAACCAACACAGCTGGAGGAAGACCCTTTCAGTCAATTCGCCTGGTTGTCCAGCAGGCTGAAAGAAGCTGCAAATGAAGGCCGCAGTGTGTGGATTGTTGGCCACATACCACCGGGTATTGAAACATTCGGCTACACACAGCTGTGGCATCCTATGTATCTTTCGAGATACTTAGAGATCGTCCAAGACAGTCTGCTCGGAAGTGTGATTGCGGCGCAGCTCTTCGGCCACGTTCACAAGGATGAGTTTAGGATACTGCCAAATCCCCCTCCGGGTGCGGGGCCCATCCTCTTGTCGTCAGCATTGAGCCCCGTTTACTACAACAACCCTGCTTTTAAGCTTGTGAAATATTGCAAATCGACAGGCAAGCTTCTGGATCTTGAGACGTTCTTTTCAAAGGTAGCCGAGCAGCTTGATTGGCAGTCGGGGTACTGTCTTAATTCCACCTTTCCGGGTTTCGGAGCTGATGGGCTCGTCATGGAAGACTTTCTTCGTCTCCGCGACAAGCTCTTGCTAGGGCTGGAAGACTTTGAGAAGTATGCAAAGTGGTATACATCGGACTATCCCGCAGATCTGAGTCACTTGGCATGCAAAGACGATGACACTGTGGATTCAGCGCGGAGTAAGCTGCTGCGCCGACACCAATATGGTTGCGGGTTGCTGGTGCAAAACCAGGAGGACAAGAGTCCAAGAGTGTTGCGAGTCTTCATTCGAAGAGTGCGGTTCGATCGCAACAGGGTCCTCGTTCAACGGTCGTGACTTTGGTCTTCACATGTCTTGACCACCATTCGTCGTCGTTCGAGCACCTGCAAGCTCATTCAGATTGCACAGTTCAACTCTGTGCAAGTCGTAGCAGTGATTCTCCAGAGTGAGCTATTGGGTCGCCGCACTCGTGATCGATCGGCGTGTGAGGCAGTGTGGGCCAGTGTCGTGTCTCGAACGTGTCAGCTGTCACTCGTGTGGGGGGAGTGTTCTTGACACGAGACCGGCTTCTTCCCAGCTTGCAACTGTTCAGGACTACCAGCGATGCTTCGACCGTGCGATTGCTTCCATCAGCACCCAACACCATGCTGCTCAGCCCATGTTCAGTGTGGCTCGCTTGCTGGAGAGTATCCCGAAGGAGTTCGAAGACATTGAGACTTTTCGCTTGAGCAAGCTATTGCGTTGGGCTGAAGTGGCCAAGACGCAGGAAGCACTGGAAGTATTGAACTTAGCATATCGCAGCCTTTGGGAGGAACTTCTGCAGAAATTTGGTCCGGCTGTTGAAAGAGCCTTGGAGACCGGAGGCTCTTTAGATTCAGAGATTAGTGGCCGATAGTGAACAAGCGACCTCCGCAAGATTAATCCGGACTGTACAGATGTTCCGGCGGAGGCAGAGAAAGGGAGACGCACTGCCTTCTGCACATGTTTTCACTGGTTTCAGTACTCCAGTGGACTGAATGCATCGTGATGCCTGGAGGTTGGGAAAGGAGCCGACAAGGACAAGGCTATGCCAGAAGCGCTCAAAAAATCCGTCGCAGTCTGAGCCATAGGGACTCAAGGGCAAAAATATGCTGCCAAGCTTGCGGCGCAAAGAGATATTGGTATCCAGGATTTGCTGAACTTCGTCACCTTACTTCTCAGTTCCAAAGAACCAAGCTTGCGCACAGCACTCAAAGCATCCAGCCTCGGCAGTCGACGGCAGACATGCTGAAGTCTCCCAATTAAGGTGCTTCCTGCTTCCGGGCGATCTCCGCATTGAGCGCGAGGCGGCAACGTTTCTGTCAAGTCTGCTTCAACCGTCGCGACGAGCCTCCCCGAAGAGAGGGGATTTTCGATGGGTCCTCGATGCAGGCCCTTCCGAGAGCAGCGCCTTTTCAAAATGGCGGCTTGAACTTATTGTGGCTGAATCACACCAGTGCTGTGACATTGCAAAAACGGAGCTTGCAGGTGAAGTTCTCAAAGCTTTGCATGGAGCAGCCCAGTCCTCATGCTGTGATTGTGGCGGTTCATCTCGCTGAAGCTCAGTCCGAATGTTCCAGGCCCGACACGAAGACAACCAAGTGCTACCAGGTTGGTCTGAAAGAGAGACGAAGCAGAAAGCTGCACCGGGATTCATCAGCAGGGCCTGCCGCCCCAAAGCTTGACTTTCTCCATACCGAGCTCCGTCCTCAGCTATCGCTGTCGTGTGTCTCAATGCAAGATGCCTGGATGGAGCAAGAAGGCTACTGTATTCTTCATCCTCCTTTTGCCTACAGCTTCTGGATCTACATGCAGGCACTGGCCGGGGTTTGCACCATGCCAAATGTTGACCGGAACACACAGCGAGGAGCCCACGTCGAGGGGGGAGTTTGGGCGCAAGACCTATTTTCTGATGGGTCCACATCCCAGAAGTCCACTCTGCGTGCACCCCTCATGAGTGATCTTCTCAGGTCACTACATGCCAGCCGGCACCGGCACGCCCGTCATCTCCGTTGCGCTTGCAGCTGGCCATGGTCACTCCGGGCAGGCGGAATTTCGCCGAATGCTGCATCACAGTCTAGAGTCTAGCATGCTGAACACGAGAAGATTCAGAAGAGCGTTATTTAATGGACTGAGCACGCCTCAGTGTGAGAGCCCCACGAATGAACCTTATCTCTGTGCGTATTTGCTACAATGTCGGTTGCTTCATGGTTTTGTCGAAATTCCCGCTTCTGATTGGGCATGCTGCCGTTCATGGCCAGCAGCCAGCACTGCGCGAAGCTTTGTGGATCATCCTGTCAAGGCTCAGTACAGCATTGCCATAGCCTACGGCCTTATTGTCCTGTAAACAGCGATTCATGTCCATGGCTTTTGAACCTCTGCCTGTGCAAAGGTGACCTCGTGCTTAGTCGGGTTTACTTTACGGTACGTTTTTCAGAGTCTTCCATCGCAAACAGCGCTATGTGTCTAGCTCACGTCGCCTGCAGGATGGCCGGCTGGAGCTGTGGTTAGGAAACGACTGCAAGGCTCCGGACAACGAAGAGGAAGGTGCGCAGAGATTGCACATGAGTTTATTCAATCATGGGCTGTCCAAGCGCCTCGTCAGTTGCTGATGGAAAGACAGCAAGCGAGCTGGCACTTGTGAAAGCCGGTGTTTGGATGCATGCCTCTCGCCAAGCAGCTACTGAGTTTCTTGTGTCATTGAAGCGGCTGCCTTACCTTCGCTTGAGCTGCCAAGGTGGTGGTCTCGATTCAACATCGCTCCGTCTCTGCATACTTGCAGGACCCGGGGACGTGGGCATGTAACATCGACGAAACCCAGTCGAGAGTTGGTCTTCGTATGTCTCCGGTGCAGCAGCACGCAGAAAAATTCGCCGGACGGGCACCAAACCCATCTTGGGCAGCACGGGTCGGTAGGCACATGCGACTCCGAGCATCGCAACCCTCGATTTTTCGGAGTTTCTTGTCGCACTCAAACAAAGTTGGATGTTACCGGAGCCATGACACTCTAGGGAGGCTACAAACCCAATTCCTCCAATGTGATGGTGAAGAGACACTGCGCTTGACAGAGGTATGCAGTCATCCGCAGACTTGTGGGATTTCGGCAAGAGCAAGAGGCATGCAGAGAAGAGAGGTGAGGCAGGGTTGTTGTTCGTTGTTTCACACAAGTGCTGCTAAACTAATCTGGACACCACGGGGGGCTGTCCTTTTTCTAGTCTTGGCACCTCAGGGGGCTGCCGTGTTGATTTGTAGGTACGTGGTTCCGGCGTCCCGGAACCATATCAGCACACTCTGAAGAGCCTGTTTGCTAGATGCCCACTCTTCAGGTGTGCGGCTGTGGGGCATCCCCCTGCAATGCGAAAAAGCAGACCATGCAGGAGTGATTTTCTTTTCCCATGTGCTAAGGAAGTTGACACACACACACAGACAGCCCCACAAATGTGGGCAGACTGCAATTGAGTAATGACGTCCTATTTTGTTGCGGGTTGCAAGGTCGCTGGTGTCTTCATGCTTCTTGGGTTAAGTGAAACGTCCATCCTGAATTGTTCGAAATGTCGCGGACTTTCATCCAAAGCGGTAAATGCGTATTCTGCTGCATCAGTCGAAATTGTGATCTTCGAATGCTGCACAGTTCGTCGTTGAGCAGGAAGCACACTTGCTCCTTGGTGTCATCAACGATGGAATTGGTAGGTACATTAGTGCCAAAGGCCACGATGCCTGGTCTCGGTATGTTGTCAACCCAGATGCTATGAATACCTTCCTGGTGCTGTGCGGGTTGGTGTTCCGCACGTTCCGACAATTGGGCGATGGTGGCATCACGTTTCATGGCTATCACACACAGATTTAACATTAGAAGTAGAGCCAAAAAGATGCTGCGAAGTTAGCTGCGTGACACATGTGCTGAGGCACATCATGCACGGATCCGCACAAGTGTTTTACTGCGAGATCACACATGGTCTGTGTAGTTGGCCCTCTCGTAGAGTCGGCGCATGGCTCGCGCGGCTTCATGTGCTCGAAGTCTAGCCGCACAGATTCGCTGTCTGATTCTTGTGCGTGCTTGGTAGCTGCGGAGAACCTGTTTTGTGGTGGCTAACCATGGGTGTATAATGTCAGCAATGGTGACATTGTTGTGGGGCGTGAGGCTGTGGTTGTGTGGATCACGGCAAAGCCCAGGAAAACATTGGCCGGTTCAGTTTCTAGCTGGACCGGTGACCGGTTACAGCTTGGATCTGTGACCTGAAGAAATGATGGTAATTGTGCGAGGTGTGTGGGTAGCCATAGAACACGGTTGTCAACGTATCTGGTGGCGAAATACAGTGCATATTGTGTATAAGAATGCGTCGGAACATGCTTGTGGTTGAAGATGAAGATGAGCTGTCCATATGTGTGATGCCAGCAATGTTCCTCAGCCTGCTACCACCATGTTGCATAGTAGTGCGGGACCTCATGGGGATCCCATGGGTGCGCCTCGAAGTTGCTTGATTAATGTGCCGCTAACGGTGAACTAATTCAGCAGCAGAATGGTTGCAACGATCGTGGGAATATGTTTGATGTATGTGCTGTGTTTTTTGTCGGTGGCACCCTCTTGCTGTTTCTGTCTGCCTTTCCCACGGTGCACCCGATGTTTCGGGTCTGCTTGTGAATGGTCAACATGGAATGTTGGAGCATGAGAGGAGTTGTTGACTTAGGAAACGGTCTTTGTCCACGGATGTGAAAAGTCCGCCAGGTCCGCCGCCACTCTGCCAGACAAGACAGAAGACACCGTCCACGCAGAATCAGCGACCACACCAGCAGAAGACGTCGACACTAGCAGGTCAGCCGCCGCAGCCACAGTTTATCCACCAGCCCATCTAACCGGACTGCCAGTCCGGCACCACAAACGACCACATTATGCAGCTACTCATCTCTGAGACAAGAGAGTGATAACCCTTGGCACTATCGAGACTGACCACCTACCTCCGATCACTGAAGACGATTCCCATCCCCACCACCACCACCGCCGCCGCCGCCGCCACCACCACCACCACCAACAGCATCCCGCTATACCGAGCGATTACAACACCAAGTACGCCGCCTCGCTAACCAGACCACGACGCAAGGGAAAAAACTCCAATGCAGGAAAGGGAGTCAACACGAAGCACTTCTAAGCAGCAGCAGACTCGACGAACATCGCGGTCCAAGGACAAACGGACAGACCGAAGGCGACCCCAAACGCTCGTCACACCCTACGCTGAGATCAGACAACAGGACAGGGTCAGATCGCATGCGGTTAATATTGTCGAGCGCAACAAGCCGGCGCATACACTCAGTGACATTGCTGACAACACAATCATAAAGAACAATGGTATATCTGACCTCGCAGATGCCATATGTGCTTCTGTCACACGCCAGGCATGCCTACAGCTCCGTGCCACTTTTTTGGCATTTCAGACGGAGTGCACACCATCTTGTATGTGCCTTGGAGTTTGGATATTCAGCATCCACACCACCGGGACCTACGTGGAACTAAGTCCGCTGCCATGGCACAGACATGAAATCTACATCTGGCGTTTTGTTGGAGGATCTGGTCCGACCTACAAGCATCCAACGTACATTTTCAACAGGCAGCGTTGAAATTCCAGCGGCAGTTGTCTACGGATCACCGGAACTCGGCGAACTCAATGAAACCACACTTCAACTTCATATCGTGTCTGCCAACGCGGGCCAACGCCACAGGCCGCAGCAAGGGACAACATGGCGTGCTGATCTTCGTTCGGAGTGATGCAGGGCTCTTTCAGCATTACAAGATTGACTATCGAGATTCGTGACTTGAAGCCTTCATCACGGGCCAAAAAGCAGTGTACGCACCCTATTCTATTACAGGGATTGGATTGGTGGGCATAAGAGTCATTCGACTCCAATTGTGTTACACTAAGTTATTGGCATCATGATCATTCATGGGCCGCTGCAATCCGCTACCCTGTAGCGACGTCTCGACCCGGCAGCAAGCACATTTTGGGCCCAAGAAGCAGTCCCGACACGCAGTGGCCGACTTTACAACGTTGGCACCATGTTGCCTGCAGATGTCATTACTACGTAGACCCGAGAAACAACACAAGGTCGGCCACAATACAAAAGGTGGAACATGACACCGCCCAGAGGCATGATTGGCACGGCCATCAACAGCATGCGCCATATGCGCCAACATTCGGGATCACACCACCACCGCCCCAGACACCATACCAGTGTCCGACACTGAATCCCAGCAGTTTGTTTCAACACAACGGCAAAAACACAAGCAACACTGCAATCATCACATTGACATTCACACTGTCAAAACGTACAATCAAAAACTCCTTCCCGGCATCATACATTGTGAAGCCGTGTTGTGGTGCTACCTGCGGTGGTGGTAGCAAGCTCGGCTGCATTTGCTGAGCAATCAATCTGGTACCCATAAGGGTACATGTCAGCTGGCAGCCGCCGCCGCAGCAATCAAGCAAGCGAGTGGTGTCCCGTGTAAGCAACGCAGCTGGACCGTTGCTGGTCTTCTTGGGGAGAAAAGCAAATGATGCAGTGCCGAAGTGTTGGGCTTCCGAAGAACCGGTGCGCTAGACTCACATGCCCCTGCATTCCTGAGACCTGAGAAAAGAAGCCTTAAAATACGGACAGAACAATGGAGGTAATCCTGCGCACCTGCACTTGCACTAGACGAACCGTTGCTGCACATGCTTTCATGTCAGATGCACATGCCGCCATCCATGCTTGCCGTCGCCCGTATTAGTTCCGGATAGCCGGCATAGAATAGCTGCCTGGGAGCCTCAGGCCATCAGCCCAAAGAATCAACCCGATATTTGGCTCCTGGCCAGCTACCCCGCATGGCCACCACGGCGCCATGACGGAAAGCCGCTGTTAACGGGTCTCCGGGACCCTATGTTCCACACTGCTGGGATTTCGGCAAGAGCAAGTGGCAAGCAAATGAAAGGGGTGAGGCAGGTTTGTCGTTCGTGGTTTCACACAAGCGACGGCTGCTGTTAATTTTAGCGCCTCCTGCTGGGGGCTGTCGTGTTGATTTGCAGGTACGTGGTTCCAGCGTCCCGGAACCATATCAGCACATTTTGAAGAGACTGTTTGCTAGATGCCCACTCTTCAGGTGTGGGGCATCTCCCTGCAATACGAAAAAGCCGACCAATGTAGGAAAGATGTTCACACACACACACACACCACCCTCGCAGGGCGAGACAGTGGTGGAGGCGAAGCTCCAGGGCCGCATACAGCTTTCTTCCCTACCGTGGGCGCCTGAAAGTGACTGCAAAAAACTCGTCGTGCCATGCTGCGCCCTCAAGACACTGCGTGCTTAGGCCGGAACCCTTGCGTGCTGTGTGCTTTGTTGGCTTCCCGCCACCGGAGTTGCTGAACTACCAGAGTTCCATCAGCATCATGGAAGGCCCAGAAATCCCGCTTAATTATTTTAATACGAAAGATGCGAGCCGGTCCTCTGCCCTTCACAGGTCTCATCGCCCACATGACTTACCATGACGAGGGCCTGACCAGGAGTCAGGTCTACAACGCCTACTTCAGGTCGGGGGCATGAGTTGAGGCAGGCCTGCTTCTCACTTCTTACACCTTCTGAGTGAGGTCGCGGCACATGCTCCCGAAGGAGCCGAGTGGTTCCGGGCAGATTCCCGTAGGACCGTGTTCAGATGCGTTTGATTGGCAGGAGAAGGACATTCTACCTCTGGAAGAAGCCAACGAGCGCAGTGAGCCAGGGGCTGGTGGTGGTTGATTTGCAGATGCGCCCGAGACGTGTCAAGCAGTCTGCACAATGGGCTTTAGGTCCATTATGTATCCGTTCCATCGCGAGCCCCCGAGACATCTGAGCTTTCCATGCCAGTCCGCAGAGTCAGCCTTGCCTGGGCCTAGACCAACAACCGTCCCCCTTGATGTGGCTGGTGATCTCGGACAAGTGGCATCAGGCGGGAGGTTGGTCAAGAGTTCGGCCTGAAACAAGGGCGCCAATGCGCGGCGGATTTGAAGGGCCGGGAGGTTGAAGGCATCAGAAAACGGCATGAAACGCCGAGGCAGAATCGGGTTCAAGGGTTGCAGCAAAGATTCCTTAAATTACGAAGAGTCAGTATGTTTAGAAAAGCCAGCACTGGGCCGACCTACCTGCGCGCTCTCGAAGGAGTTAAGTCGGGATTTCTCAGGTGGACACGGTGCTCTTTGCTGTTCTCAACTCGAAGCCGGCAGCCCAGCTGAGCTTTTGTGTTGTGTGTCTGCACAAGCAACATCGGCGAGGACCTACTTGCAGCGTCATGGAAGGGACAAGGCTCCATAGACTAGTCAGAATGTCATGTCTGCTACCAGCTACAATGCTACAGTTCTCCTCTGTGTCTTCCCCGCGAAATGCCAGGGACCTCAAGAGTTGGCACGTTCGCTGCGCATGGCAGCTATCCAGCTCCTTATGAACATCTTCGACCTCGAAGCGGTTCGCAGCTCAGTATTTCCCCGCGCCACGTAGTTCAATCGTTCCTGACCTTGCACCGAACCCTCCTCCTCAGGTGGTTCCGCATCGGCTGAGACAGTATGCCCTGAATTTCTCCAATATGAAATCAGCGGCGGTCTAAGCAATCCGTCAGCTTTCTGGTGAGAATCTGAAACTAGGTTCCTGCCACAGGTGACGCAAACGCCCTTTCGCCTTGGGATTTCTGAGGCCTGCTTATGAAAGTGTAGCAGCTGCTGAGTCTTCTACCAATCCCGTTTCTGGCCAAGAGCTGTTCTCTTGAATCTAGGACAGCTTCGCCATCGATTTTAAGCTTCGCTTTCGTGGCTATGCTCTCCTGGAAGAGGGTGCCAAGGACCGGTTGTTTGCGGATTTCTGAACCTCGGAATCAGTTGTAGCCATCGCTGTTGAAGTGCATCTCATGGACTGGCTGCAGGTCCAAAGCATCATCTCCTGCTTTGCAGGGGTCCGAGATTCTTGTGGTCACTGGCTCGAAGAGGACAGGGCCCGTGACAAGGGGTGCTGCAGCTGAGGCGAAGAAGGGCAGTGCAGACAGGGATCAGTTCCGCATCGCACTGGAGGCAACTTGTGGTTGCAGGTAAATGCTGACAACCATGCCCGCTTCGGAGGCCACCGCGGTTCAAAGCTCTGAGGAGTGCATGCTGGCCGGCGAAGCCACCGGAAAGCCGCAGGCTCGCGTGTGCCGCAGTGACGGTGATCCCAGCTCCTGTCGCACTGCGCTTCAGGCTTGGCACATCGTTTTCTGCTACAACGGGCAGCCAACAGTCCTCCCAGTGCCAGTGCCTTTGTCCGCCTGTCCCGTGTCGGCACCTGGAGAAATGAAGTCCAAGGCCCCCGATGGCAGGGGAATGGCTTCATTGTGCTATCAGCTATGTGGCTGTCTTACAGAGAATCTGTGCTGACCCTGTGCAAATGTGCCGTCTGGCCGATCGTCATTCCAGGCCGATGGCCACACAGAGTGTTGGCCTCAGGGACGTGGATTCGTACGAGCAGGTTGTTTTGGGGATGTCGCCAAAGCATTGCAGCCTGCAGGATGTGCTGCTCTTGGGATGGAGCTCCTGCTCGAAAGGCAGAGTGCTGTTCGGCAGTTGCAGCCGTGCGCCGACGGGGAAGTCGGTGGTGGGCCAGGTTGAGGCGGACTACAGCAAGGTGGATCAGCGGGTAAGCACCGACGGCTACATCGGCATGGAGGTTCATTTCAATACCACGTGAAGGCTCTGAACTGTCAGATCGGTGCAGGTGACCAAGAAGCACATCATCAACAATTTGCTGTGTGACATTCATTATTTCCGGGTGTGGCTCTGAGCTGCTTTCAACTCAACGCACGAAGCATCGCGGGGCAGTGCGCAGATGGCCGGTCCAAGCGTCCAAGCAGCAGTGCGGTATTGAGATTTTTTGGGTCTTGGCTCACGTGTGTCTCTCGTTTTTGGTGGCACTTGTCTCTTTTTTCAGGTGTCACCTGGTGTCGCTTGTTCCTTTCTGCTTCGGTGCAGCAGTCTCAGACAAACGACCCCCCCCTCGCTTTTTTCCAGGCCTTCCGGTTTTGCGGTGGGGGGTTGGTAAGGGTCCGCTCCTTAGGGTCTCGCCCTCTGGCTTAGGATTTGTTTGTGTGTTCAATCCTCACTCTCTAGGGCTCTGCTGACACCTTGGGGTGCTTGGCCTTTGTGGGTTCTGGGCTTCCGGGTCTGGGCTCCGGGGCTTCCGGCGATGCCTCGGAAATCTTCGGAACAAACGGCTTTGGGATTGACGGATCGGCGGTCTCGGCCTTGCTCAGGGTTCCCGATTCGGGTTTGCGTTCACTCCGGCCTGTTGGGTTCTTGCCCAACCTTCCGATTTTTGGTGAGGGGGGTAGGACGGGGGGTGTTTCTGGGGGGGGGGGGGGAAGGCGAATTACAACTAGATGGGTGTAAACACAACCAGACGAGTAAAAATACAACTCAAATCTCTAGAAATTGGTTTAGATGAGTGAAAACACAACTAGGGCATGACCGAACGCATACCAACCGAAACAATCATGTTAAGTATTGCCTGCAAGCCCGTCGCACCTGCATGACCGAAAGCATACAAACTGAAATAATCATATTAAGCAAAGCCTTTCGTACCGTACCCACATCACCCAAACCATACAAATCTTCTGCAGAGCATGTCTAAACTTAGAAAGGCACCGCAATAGCAAGTTGTAATTTCTCCCGCTTGGGCCAGCCCCCAATCGTGTGTTCCACCGTGTGGTTGTATTTTCTACCTTTTGGTTGTATTTCGATCGGGGGAGGGGAAGGGGACGTTGCGTCTCCGAGTAGTAAGTTTCGCGGAATAATACGTCTTTTTGCGTATGTTGTCAAGAGGACGTGGAGGGGTGGAGGCGGAAGAACATTCGAAACCGTAGCTCTGGCAACCGGGGTCCGCCCAGCGGCAACCCGGAGCCGAACTTGGCTGGGTTCAGGGTTTCTGGGTTTAAGGTTTCTGGGTTTAGAGTTTCTAGGTTCAGGATGTAATGAATTTAGGGGTTTAGGGTTTCTAGGTTCAGGATTTAATGAATTTAGGGGTTTAGGGTTTCTGGGCTTAGGGTTTCTAGAATACAGGGATTCTGGGTTCAGGGTTTCTGGGCTTAGAATTTCTAGGTTCAGGATTTAATGAAGA